GAGAGATGTCAGTCAAAAAACTTTACATGGAACCGTAGCATGGTGCGTGCCGGGACATTATAGGCATGCTCAGCCTATCCATGGTTAAAGTGTATGAGCAAAAAGGCCCATCAGACCTACTAACGTGTCCAAGCGACAGCTTAAAGTAGGTCGGATGCACCAATATGCTGTTTTTAACGTGCCCATCCGACCTACAGTGCATCGGACCTACCACAGCTGTTAAAACCACGTGGTTGTAGGTCGGATGGGCAGTAGAGGGGATGGGCGTAGGTCCAAAAATACACAATCTAAACTGCATGGAGTAGCATTACAGCAACAAATTTATTAAAGATTGCTTAATTGTCTTCTTCTACAGTTCTAAGAGTTCCTAAGAATTTCGAAATATTGTTTATTAGAACGGTGAATACGAAACTACTGATTTCGTTAAACTGAGAGGTGAGGGAGTGAAGTCTCCACATATTTAGAAAAGCTTCTAAGATTGAAATAAGAGGTTTCGTGAATGAACAAAAATTTCCTTCTGGTTTCTTAACACTTTGTCTTCCTCCCGCAAACATTATAGCAGGAGGAGGGGGAACTTTTAAATTGGTTTGGGTTTAAAGTTTGTTGAGTAGATTGACTTTTACATATTTACCTTTTTCCAGGCAAAGTTCCCAAACTAACAAAATAATTTTGGGGTCGGGGTTCTTAGCACCGTTGATTTTATTCAATCTAAAACAGTACAGCAAATAGTGATCTAAAATAATACCCAGCATTCCTTGAAACTTAATAAACATCTTCTTTAAAGGTAAAACCGAGGCTGAATTTAAAGAATTTTAGTTGCGGCTTAAATTAAACTTAAAATTGTATCAAATGTTTCAAGATTTAAGCTGGCGCGCTTAATTTAAACCGGGTTTTGGCGGATTTAAGCCACGGCTCAAACTCTTTAAATTTGGCCTCAGATTAACTTTGAAATTTAAAAGCAAGCTTTAAACATCTCTGTGGTTGGTTCTACAGAGTTTTCCAATCTATATTTGAGACAAATCGGTCAAGGGGTTCATGAGTCTAATCGAGCATACAAATAGAGAAATAAAGTTGTCCAAACTTCAAGTCTTCATCATTTATCAAGTAGGCATTACTCTTAAATATATATTTCTTGGTTTTATAAAGTGTAAATATTTTTCATCAAATTATCACAGAAATACTTTTCCAATACATAAACAATTTCATGTGACACTGTGTCAAGCTATTACAAATGAGAATTACAAATGAGAAACCACATTTTCAGCCCGGAAATGAACAAGCCAGCAGTTGCGGGAAACCAAATACGTAAACAGATATTGTTGACTTGATAAAACAAGCTGTCGCTGTAATCCTTTAAGAATTACCGTGAATGTGCATAATTTATACATTTTTGTCATGCATGGTGTCTCGACAAACATGGGAATTATAGTATAACTGGAAAATTAATTTTTAATTTGATGAGTGCAGAGCATCATCCATGAGCCTAAAAAATAACCTCCGGAGCCTCCTGATTCGCAGAATGGTCTTCCAGCCATTAAAAATTCGATATCCAATAAAAAAAATATTTGGCTTTTATATCCACCAAAAGCCTTTTTTTTTATTTTAACATGTTCATAAAGTTTTGATGGTACATAAACAATTTGTTTCAAAAAATCTATTTTTATTGAGATTAAGGCTTCATATTTTGTTCTTCTAAATTTCACAAATTCCTAAACTTGTGCAGAACTATTGCAGCTTTTTATGAAGAAAGACTAATTCGATATAATTTCATGGGTGCATCATTGATGACCATTAACCTATCTCCTAAACCCCCACCCTCTTTTAATGTCGTCTTTAACTGCCCCAAATCCAAACCAAACATTTTCTTCAACCTTACCTTTCTACCCCGACAAAGGAAAATCGTAACATTGAAACGTTTTACTAACTGAAAGGTCAAATCCATAAATGACTTTGCAATCTATGGTAAATTCCACTTGAAAAACCAGGTTTATATTTTTAGAAGTGTTTACACATGATTAAAACTATATCATTAATCACTGCTTTCACTCCGACCTGAAAAACTAGTAAGATATATTATTTAAATATTAAAATAAATCAATACATTGTCATTTATTTTAACTATACCTACATTTTATTGCAGGTTTGAAATACATCACACGAAACATTTTTACCGACTTTATGTACAGATGGCAAAGTTGGTGGGTAAATAATTCTGGAATTTCTATGTTTGCTATGTTTAAATTCAGGGTTAAGCAATTATAATTTTTGTGAAGCTGGGGGAGGGGCGGGGGTCATAAAATTCTTAAAATGTAAGATAGCGTGTAATTGCTAAAAACCCGGTTTTCCTTAAAAATTTTTAAATTTGTAAATTTTTAAAAGATAATTAACTTTCATAATCAATAGTTCAATAATATTAAAAAAGATATATAAATAAATCATAGAAAACAAATTCTTTCAACCTAAATCTCCCATCCCTCATGGAAAAGGGATGCTGGGGAATGGGGGGGGACACAAGGGAGTGATCAAATCAAAAAAATCTCTTAATTATTTCCAGTGACGATTTTTATTGGCTAAGAGCTGGCTAGGAGGCCATTCTGCAAATCAGGAGGCTCCAGAGGTCAGTTTTGCAAGGCTTATATGGATGCTCTGCACCCCCTCCCTCCTTACAGTGAGTTTATTACGTACATTATTACATATCATATCTTGGTGAAAGGCGCTTTTTTGAGGCTGCTACAATTTAGACGTTTTATTTACTAATTGGCTTTCTTGTTTTAATTTTTCCTTGGTTTGGTTTGGAAATCTTAATCTTGGGTGTTGATTGATTGATTGGTTTCTTCTTATTACTCAAAATGTCTGCGCACTTTGGAATATGTCGATCCGCGGCACTCGCGCCGAATCTAGAAAAAAATTGAGGATTAAAGAAAGTTATTGAAAATCTTTCGGCCAGTGAATACTGAATATGTGCCGAACTAATTTAAGATAGACATAGTTTTTTTGTCTGCAATAATTATTAGAGTCCCAATTAATAATCTAATATGTTTTTCAAAATTATTTTCTCTGTAACTTTTCTTAATAACTTTTCAGTGACCGACCCTCTGTTCAATGAGTGGCTTGACGGAATTCGAGTTACAAAAAAAAAATTCTGATTTGTCTAAAAAAGTAATGAATTTTTACGGAGATGATTATGGATATCTAATGAACTTTTAATCAGATAAGATCTTTATGGGTATCTTTGTAAATTGTAAAGTGTATATTCCCTTTAAAACAGATGACCATATATCGAATTCTTTTATAAAAGTTAATTAGACTGAACAATATTTATTAATCTTACTTTCTCCCACAGTGAGGGCACTCAATATAGTCTGAATTTTCTGCTGGAGGAGGGGGTGGCAGATCCCTGATATCACCACCATTCTTGACATATTGCTGGGCTCGTTTAGCATCCTTCATTGCTCGAACAAACTCCTCCCGTTGAATTCTCCAGTCCTTCTTTTTTACAACCTAATCAAGGATATATGAATTGATTTGAAAGACAATAAACGGGAACAATTCAGTGGCATAGCATTTTTAAAATGTAGATGTCTAAGGTTACGAAAAGTATAGGTAATATGGTGAGGTGGAAGCAAAGGCCAAGGCATTGCTACATTTGTAAGTAAAGGCTGTCTTAAAATTCAATGTTTTAAAATTGTGATTTCAAAAATCTATCAAAGATATCTTATGTCAATGACTTTATGAACTATTTCAATATTATTTAAGAATAAAATGAGTTTTTGAAGTACTTTACAATAACAATTTTAATTTTTTTTAAGGTTCTCATTAAATATGTTAAATTTTTATTAGGGTTTGGAGGCACATATAACTTGAAGTTTGTGTTTAAGTTCATCATTTTCTAATCTATCTATCTATAAGTTGTTTAACAAATAACCATTTTATCCCCAGTGGCAAGTAGTGAATATATATTTGCACTTGACATTTAAATAGTCAGTATTGTTGTCGGATAGCTGCAAGATTCTCAATAATGAACAGATAGACAATGGGATAACCCTCAAATCAAAACCGATAATGCAGAGAAACTATTTATTTTCTAAAAAATGATATGGATAACAACATATAAATTATTACAATGATTTATGAATTTTTATAATGGAAAGATTCTTACGATCTAATCAAGGATCTGTGGGGTTAAAACCATCGGAGAGTCCTAAGACGTTTTTTTTAATTTAAACTTCTGAAAAGAATGACTATTAATTATTAACGAAAGTCACTAATTCTTTATATGAAAATATTCTTTGCTTAACTTTTGAAATGGGTTCACAATAAATAATAGTGTTTAGACTCCGTTCCCGGAGAACAAAGAAAATGGGGCTAAAATTATTTGGTTTGGTGTCTCCGAGAGGGGATTTTAAGTTAAAGACGACATTACACGGAGGGACGGAGAGATCTTATTGTTAATGGTTGACAAGTATGCTTTCCAGTTAAACTTTGAACTTTAAGTTTGAAACATAAAACGTTTTATGACGTGGGGAATACTAATATGTTGTGGCTTAGAAGAGTTTATAGCCGTTGGCCCGTGGCTCAGGGCTGCCCGAATACCTTGTTTCCCTTTGGTACTCCGAACTGAGCAGCATCCGTCCCTTCAATCCTTGCTTTTTGCACATCAAACACTTTCCGTTTAGACTTGGTGTTCTAAAATATACTTTCCGTTATACTTGGTGTTATAAAATATACTTTACGTTAAGACTGGGTGTTTTAAAATATACTTTACGTTAAGACTGGGTATTTTAGAATAAACTTTACGTTAAGACTTGGTGTTTTAAAATATACGTTACGTTTATGCTTGGTGTCCTAAAATATACTTTACGTTTATACTTGGTGTTCTAAAATATACTTTACGTTTATACTTTACGTTTATACTTGGTGTTCTAAAATATACTTTCCGTTATACTTGGTGTTTTAAAATATACTTTACGTTTATACTTGGTGTTCTAAAATATACTTTACGTTTATACTTGGAGTTTTAAAATATACTTTACGTTTATACTTGGTGTTTTAAAATATACTCTACGTTTATACTTGGTGTTCTAAAATATACTTTACGTTTATACTTGGTGTTCTAAAATATACTTTACGTTTATACTTGGTGTTTTAAAATATACTTTACGTTTATACTTGGTGTTCTAAAATATACTTTACGTTTATACTTGGTGTTTTAAAATAAACTATTTGTTTAAACTTGGTGTTCTAAAATATACTTTCTGTTTATACTTCGAGTTTTTGTCATGTTCTTGTTAAAAACAGTTTTTTTCTGAAATAAATTTCGTTTACTTATATAAATTCTACTTAAACCGGGTGTTTATAATACTTTCCGTTTAGAACCTGTATTTAAAAAAAAAATTATGTTCGAAAATACTTTTATAATTCTTGAAAAGATTTTTGCTCAGCCATTTCTATCATTCATTTCGATAAAGAAGAAAATGTAGGACCATTTGAATCAATTTAATCTTATTTTGTTTTTGACTCAAAAATATTTAGAGGGGATTGTCAAAAAATGCTTTTATTGAAAGTTTACCTTGTTACAGATTGACTGATGCTTCTCCAGACGATCTTTCATAAATTTTCTACCACAGCTCTAAACAAATACGAAATTAAATTTTTAAAAAGTTTTCTTTCGTTTTTATTCTTTGAAAATACATATATATATTGCAGTTCTTAAGAACTAGAGTAAAGAGCGTTATTTGGTTATATTTAAAGAATTGCTGAATTTGGTTATACCTATCTTTCAACCCTAATATAGAGTAGAGATATTAGCCTAACCAAAATTACTTCTTACTAAAATATTATTATCAGGTTTGTAAATCTTTAGTCGAGATATTTTTTTCTTCCCTCAGTGTAACATTTACACGACATTAAAAACATATGCAAAATAATGCATTTTTGACATTTTAGAGCTCAAGAGCTAAGCTTTGTAGGGTTTATTGATCGTTTTTGATTTTTTTTCCTCCGGTAGTTGCTCCATATAGATCTTTAGTAGCTCCTACAGTGTCAATATTGTAAGTATTGCATATAAAAAGTTATGCATACTACAGACCTATTAAAATATTTTCGTAAATTGCGGTATTTGGTTAAACATGAATTTGCGGAATTTGGTTTTAGTTAAATATTAATATGAAACAGCACAAAGGTTGAATTAAAACATCTTATATGGGATTTTCAAACCAAAAATATCTGGTCTAGTTTACCCAAATATTCTGTTGTGAGCAAGCTATGGGAAGCCACTGAAAAGTTCTCATGGATTACAATACATGTGGAAAGTCCTTAATAAGAACTGGATTGTTTCCTTGGATTGATCAAGCTCCCAACAAACTCAAGCTAATGTCAGTAACTCTTTTAAAGAGGACTGAACACCCTGAGCAGCTTAATGATCCTCTTCTCGCTGAGCAGTTTGATGATCTTCCCCTCGCTGAACAGCTTGTTGATCCTCCCCTTGCTAATCAGCTTGATGATCCTCCCTTCGCTGAGCATCTTAATGATCCTCTTGATCTTCGCTGAACAGCTTGATGATCCGCAATAATAAGAGGAAAAAAGATTTATGTTGGAGAAAAGGTTTTCAACAAAATTTTAAAATCAAATAAATTAAATTTTTTCGAAACTTCATTCTTGTCGGATTTGGTTGTTTAATTTTGTTCGTGTTTTCTTAAGTGAAAATAATGTAAACATATTTTGTTAGGACTAGACTCATCAAAAATAGTGTTGTTATAAACATTTTTACTGTACAAGCTTAAACAAGTGTAAAGGATAAAGTTTAACACTATATCCAAATAACGCAATTTATAACCAACCTAAGTGAAATATATGATATGTGTATCAGAAGCATTGATGCATCTTTTCCATTTTTTTTCTCGGGTTCTTACTCAAATATCTTCCAACTTTAAAATGTTTGTTTTTTTCAAACAATTTGTGTCAACTATAGTGAGTAATAGGTGTTTTTCCTGAAAATAGCTTAACTATAACCAAATAACGCAATTTACTCTACTTCAACCTGTGAAGAAAATACTCTTCGTAAATAATTTTTTAATTGTTCATAGTGTCCCAATAAACAGGGATAAACCAAACATTTATTCTGGGATTTCTGAAACGTGGCTTGTCTGTAGGGCAGCTTTAAAAGGAATCATATATTTTAAATTTTAAATTTGCCAAATAACATTTAATTTTCTAAATTTGTTATTAAAAAAACGAAAGGGGGATGGTCTCTACATTTAAAAGAAAGCTCAGGAGCCATACAATCTTTTATTACATTTTTCCTTGTAATCAAATATTTTTTTCTATTTTAATCTGTAGTCTAACATTAGAACAAAACATACAGTGGGAACCATGAAACTGTGAAAGAGGAAAACGTCTTTTGATCTCAAATTATGGTTTTAAATATTCACAAGAACATTAAACACAGTAATTAGATCCATTGTGCTTGATTTGATTTTCCAGCTAAAGGTTAAACAATTCGTTTTAAAACAACATCAAATACACACAAGATTGCTTAAATGTCGTCTTCAAATTTTACAGTTCCATAGTTCTCACTGTTCTTTGACCCACCTTGCATTCTTTCAAGTCCATTCTCTCAATTGACCCATTTACTTCCTCTAAAATAATGCAACAGGGTTACCCTGAAAGGATGAGACTTCAGAGACGACGGAATTACTTCAGCCTTGTTGTTAACGTTTATTTTTCCTTAATTGCTTTTAACCATACATTAATAACAATCCAGATAGATCACTAGATGTCGTCTTTTCAAGATTTAGGGATTTTTCGTTCACAATAACCATGAGGAAGAAGCCCAAAGCAAGGAGTTTCGCGCATGCTCTCCCTCTGTCTTGTAATTCAACGCGACTTGCTTCTGCCTCAGGGTTATTGTGAACGAAAAACCCCTTAATCTTCAAAAGACGACATCTAGTGTTTTATCTGTATTGTTATAAATCTGTGCTTTTAACATTTTGCTTGTTTTTAAAAATCATTATTTACACACCAATTAGGAACATATTAAGTATCGAAGATCAAATTAAATCTTGAAATAGTTGGAATTTAAAGCGATGTAAACCCGCTTTACTATGGTACCCTTTAAATTTTTCCCGAGCAAACTCTTCATCTGGAAAAGTGTTTTATTCTAAACAAATTTGATTAACTCGTCTGATCTTCATAATAGCCACCACACATAGATTCAGTCTGCTTAAAAACATTCTCTTCAATTGTTAAACCAGGGTCGACTTTGAAGTGTCGCAACGCCTAGGGATTAGATTTTACTGCTCTAATTCACATATGATTTTCTGTAGCCCTCTACATGTACATTTTAGCACTATAAAGCACTTGTCAGGTTTGGTGTTTAAGAAGTAATTGGCGAAATGCTCAATGTTTTTTGCAAATAGATTCTTGTACAATAGAGGGCAACGTAGAGTTTGTATTCACTGTCAGTACATTTGTATTCTGTCGTCACAAGTGTCAATTCAGTTTTTGTGTCCGACAAAATCATCAATAATAGTGATAATTTTAGAATAAAGTGCTTTTCTTACAGTAAAATAGTGCAATTGTATGTGTTCTTTAGTCCCTGTGTTTAAACTTTTTAATTAATCTTGGAAAACATGCCAACTAATGTGAGAAAATTTCGATTTCCTTGTGATATTTGACACTTGTGACGTTGTGTATAATTTGTTCATTTCTCTGTTGCCACATAATGGACTTGATAATCTATTTGGATTTTTGTTTAAGAATGTGAGACCTTTAAATCACAACGACCATACCGTTCTGAATTGAGAATGCCATTCTTTCAAGGAAGGGTAAACCTACGTTGATAGTACCTTTAAAATTATTTATTTTTACCTTCTTTCTTTGATGTTTCTTTGTCGTTGTAAACAGGAAGTTTTCTTTCATCTTTATTTACTTTAAGTTCTTGGTCATCTTCTTCTTCTTGTTCTTGTTCAACATCTTCTTCTTCCTCTTCTTGATCTTGATTTTTCCCTTTTTCATTTGCATTTTCTGCATTTTCTGAGTACAGTTGAATAATTAATTTTTACTACATTTTCATGCTTCTTTAAAAATTAAACATTAAGTATTTTTCACCTTTTTATTTATTTTCTTTTTTGTCTTTTTATTTTATTTTATTATTATTTCAGTATTTATTAAGGTTATTATTTATGTCTTAAATAGTTGGAAATATGAATCAAACAAACAAATTAGAAATATTTTTATGCATTCTAATAATACATATTTCCATAAAAATCAATTTAAATGAAATAGTTTGGTAAAAAGAGAAATGGTGTATTTGACTTGTCCGTGTACTCGTTTGTTTGTTTGTGTCTAATAAACGGCTGAACCGGTCAGACCGGAAACCATGAAAGATGTTGTATAATGTAGACTTTGATATTTCGAATTAGAATGCTCTTAGTTCAAATTGTTTGAAATATCAAAGGTTTTCATCACAAAGTTGTGAAAATAAAGGGATAAGAAAATTTGATATTGTGCCATGCAGTGAGACTAAACAAATTGCATATTTCAAAAGGAAGGTGAGGCGCAAAAAGCTAAGAGAAGACTATTAAAAGAAAATGTGCGCTAATTACCCTGGCATTATGTTACTTACTTAAATTAGGCTCGGATGAAGGGCGATAGTCTAAAATAATAAAATTTTTTTTTTGATTAATAGCCTGGAACCCAGCGCTGCCAAGGTTACTAAAAGTTACTACCGCCGTTTACCCGCACTCGGACGATTTTTACCGGAAATTGGAAACTATATTTCGCTATGAAACTCGACCAACTCAACTTAGAATCTCAAAACCAAGCTAAGAACAATCCTGTGAATCTCCCAAGTTCCCCAATAAAAATTTAAGGCACTCCTGTCCAGGAGTTCCTGAGTTACGATCGTACAGACAAACAGAGATTACTATATATATATATAGATTCACTTAAAATTTGACTTTTCACCACAACCTCTGATTTTCTAATACTTGTATCTCTGAAACACCTTTGATATTTATAACAATGAACTATGTTAGATCAAATCAAGGTTATATAATGAGGTTGGTTACTCTCGATGCGAGCCAATTACCGGAATATGTCGTTTTCTTAGCATAGATAGATAAAAACCTAATAAACTCTCGCTACTATAATTAGTGACGTCTTATTAGGTTTTTCTCCATCTATTTGAGGAGACGACATTTTCCGTACATTGGAGCGCATCGAGAGTAGCCAATCTATACAACCTTGGATCAAATAGTTTCAGTTTGAATATAAAAGGTTTACATCACCATGATAATGATTAGAAAATTTGAGCTTGTGAGACTGAACAAATTTAAAGAAAAATGTTGTTCATATTTCAAAAGGAATGTAAGGCGCTCGCAAAAAGCTAAGATTATCACCAGAAAAATTATACTATTAGCGTATTATGGTACTTACTTATTTTAGGCTCGAATGAAGTACGCAACTCTAAAAAATTAAAGAAAATTTAATTGATTTTTCCTTAAATTGGGTAAGAAAATGAACTAACCTGGAACGCTTTTTCTTCTTCTTCTTCTTTGCTGTATTCTTCCTGTGCCGGCAAGGTTACCCTAAAACATTTCATAAAAAGATGTTTTTTTTCTTCATAAAATCACGATTTTTTATTTTTTTAATAATTTTCAAAGTGTAAAAATTTAATCCTTCTTAATCGGTAGGAAAAAATGAAATGAAAAAACTTTTTTAGAGAAAAAGTATCTTTTAAGGAAAACTTTTTAAATTTTTATTTAATCTAGACACACACACACACACGCACACACAATATATATATATATATATATATAAACATATATAAAGTAGTAATCTTTGTTTGTTTATTCGTACGAACGATCATAACTTGTAAAGCCTTTAACTGATTTGCCTCAAATTTTGATAGGGCAACTTGTTAGACCCACGGGAATGGTCTTGGTTTACAAATTCTAAATTGAGTTGGTTGACTTTAATAGAGAAAGTTTGGTTTGCAGGCAAAGCTGGGTTCCCAAGCTAGTCAATATAATAAAACAAGACAATCATATATATATATGCATAAAAATACATTTTTTTCAAATTCTTTATTCCACTTGCAACACCGGGCCCTTCAGCTAGTATATTGTAAAATGCAATCTGAATACCAGATATTTAATAGATTTGAAATAAGAATTTTATTTATTTTATGATATTGCAGAAAAAAAACTGTTATTTTGGAACCTTGGAACTGGGATTCCCAGGCTTGAATAAAATTCCCGACATTAAACCTTAATCAAACTTTAATATTTAATCAGTTCAAAGAAAATTAAACTTGCTTTTAATTATTAATAATTTTTAGCTTTTAACATTTCAAGATCTTTTTAGTTTTGGCATTCATTTCTAGTGGATTTAATAATTGTTCAGTTTTGGCATTCATTTCTAGTGGATTTCATAATTTTATTGGTTATGACATTCAGTTCTAGTTGATTTCATAATTTTATTGGTTATGACATTCAGTTCTAGTTGATTTCATAATATTATTGGTTATGACATTCAGTTCAAGTTGGTTTCATAATTTTCTTAGTTTTGTCATTAAGTTCTAGTAGATTTCACAATTTCTTAGTTTTGGCATTCATTTCTAGTGGAATCAAAATTTTCTTAGTTTTGGAATTTATTCTAGTGGAATGAAAATTTTCTTTGCTTTGGAATTAATTTCTAATGGAATTAAAATTTTCTTAGTTTTGGCATTTATTCTAGTGGATTTCATTTTCATAATTTCTTAATTTTGGCATTCATTTCTAGTGGAATCGAAATTTTCTTAGTTTTGGCATTCAGTTCAAGTTGATTTCCTAATTTTCTTAGTTTTTTCATTAAGTTCTAGTAGATTTCATAATTTCTTAGTTTTGGCATTCATTTCTAGTGGAATCAAAATTTTCTTAGGTTTGGTATTCATTTCTAGTGGATTTTATAATTTTATTGGTTTTGGCCTTTATTTCTATGATCTGGAATTCAAATTTTTGTTTTGGCATTCATTTCTAGTGTATTCATATTTTTGGCATTTTGGTTGAAATTTCGTCGACAGAAGGGACGGGACTGTCGACGAAATTTCTGACATTTGCTAAAATATTAGGAGAAACCTCCTTCATTTGAGTAAAAATGATGGAGTATTTTTGTTTCTAACTGGAAACTAATCATATTAAATTGTGGTTTCTTTTATCCTAGTGATGTGAAGATTTATGCTGCAAAGATTAGAAAGTATATTGACAGAATAATACATAAATGACGATTTCTTCCTCATTGCTTCTCAAACAAGTCTAAAGGGCGTCATTGTAAATCGGGTCCCCAAATCTTTAATTGGGAGAACACATGAAAATTACATTTACAGCTCATTTTATTTAACACTTATATTGTTCTACAGGGTGTCCCAATAAACATGGGAATTCAGTGACGAATTCGATATCGTCTTTTTAAATGATTCTTTGATTTAGTATATAGTGATACCTATTGAGGAAGCTGTAATCCGTAAGATTTTCGTCTGCTATGTTTACATTTTGTATGTTTATGTTTTGACTGCATACGGTTGTACTTAGTAAAAGAAGAAAATTGCAGTATACAAACAGAGTAAACTTCATCTTGCAGAGACATTATAGACACATAATTGCAGTCTTTTACTCTTTTCATAAAATAAACTCTAGCATACATAATAATATTATGGCTTTTGAAATTAGGTATTACAATGCTAATTCATAACAAAGACGATATCGAATTTGTCACTGAATTCCAATGTTTTTTGGGACACCCTGTAGTTTTAGATTAAATTCACAAACCCACCGTTGATTGAAACTGTCTTCCCTTGAGCTGTCTGTGTCCTCTTCTATTAGGCTCAATGCCATCTTGAGTCCTAAAAAGTTTTATTTAGGTATCCTAAAATATAAAAATATAGGATTTATGTACATTTTACTTTGATATATTAGGACTAGCTGCTCATGGGAAATAGTTCAAAGTATAAAAGCAAGGTTTGGTAAATAACCTGGCCTTCCTACCCTACTCCTGAAAGTTTCTACCTTTTTTTTAGATTTGTGTAATTGATTCATAAAACTATTTTCCAGCTGACCTAATACTTTACAGTCAAATAGGTAAAAAAACCCTACTCTCCCTACCTTGATTGTTGACCTATATAAAAATAAATACTCCAATTTTTTTAATTATTAATCAGTTTTACTTGTTAAAGATGTTGACACTTAGGACCAGAATGTTTGTTATTATATTCAAAACACTTTTGCGGTTTTGCTTGAAACCCAGGGTTCTTGGGTCCTTGTTTGGACCTTATCTAATATACCCATTACTACATTTTTGTTGCATTGAATATAAAGATGTTAAAAATCAAAATGTTGTTTCAGTACATTGGTAGGCGGTAACTTTTTAATTTCATTTTTTATTGTAAAGAAAGCTTTTTTCGAATAGGTTTACAAGTACAAAAAGAGAAGCTTTTCTGATTAACAGCTTCTCTTGTTTTCCATTCATTTGTGTATCAAATTTAAACTGAAAATCCTCTTCATTGTATTGGTATAATCGCCTACCACCGTAGATAATTGTAAAAGCCTGATTTTTATGTCAGCCCGCACATGTGCATATTTTTGTTTTCAGTAATATATTCAATGTCTCACCTTTGAATGTTACCCCCTGGAGATACCTTGTTGTTAGTTGAACCTGGATTCCCTTGTATTGACCAACCCTTTATCTGAAAAAATTAGATTTAAAAGAATGAAGCGTAAAGTAATCATTTGTCCAGACTTAACTAGGGTTTTCAGCAAATGAAACGTTTTGCGAAAAATTGCGAAAATATTTGTTCGGATTTCGCAAACTTGTTTGCAAAATTTGGTATTTTTTTGCAAAAATGAATGAAGTAAAAAATGAGAAAACGAAGCGAAATTTCGTGAAAATGTCTAGAAAACCATAGGTGTTGAAGCTGTATTCTGTCTTTTAGATGAATTTTCGCAAAAAATTAGCATTTTTTTTTAAATTTCAAATTTTTGTGTGAAATTTTTGCATTTTTTTCGCAAAATTTTCGAATTTCTTATTTTTCTTTTTCGCTACAAACCCTAGACTTAACTAACATAACCTCAAAAAATGCAAACCCCATGGACTTTTTCCTCCCACATTGTATTTTTGTTTGTTTATCTTATTGTCTTAAAGTCATGGCTCATGAACAGTCTTTTAGTGACCTATATTCTTTTCAAGTCTCTTATATCTATTGTTTGATTTTGAAATATTCTACCTCTTTAGGCTTTAGGTTTTCTTTTGATCGGTGTCCAAGACTTTTTGATCTTCTTCTTCTTCCATGTTCAACCTTTGTCTTGTTACTTCCATTCTTCAATTAATACAAGTTTTTGATCATCAAAACATCATTTTGTTTGCTCTTTTTATAGAATTATTTTTGCCTTTTGGAATGTCTCAACAGGAGGGCATACATATGCAAACTATATACTTTGGAGGTCTGGAGGGGAATTCAGAAAAAGCATATGTCTCACGTTTTTATTGATTAAATAAAGAATGAAGCAACAACACATACAACCAACTGCATATTTTGGAGGCCTGGAGGGGGGTTCAGAAAAAAATCTGTGTCTTAAGTTTTTAATAATTAAATAAAGGTAGAAGCAACAACTCTAAATCGCCCAATATTTTACAAATTATATATTGTTGATTAACCTCAGTCCTTTTCACTGGATTCAATGGATAGCTCTTGTTGTATCCAATCCTAATGAGCCCCTTTCCTCTTCCATTAAATACAGATCCACTGAGACTAAACAATATTTAGAACTTGCTAAACTTGGTAACAGTTTCAAGCTTTACAGTAAAGCCAGACATAAAGTAAGCAGAAAAGTAAACAAAGCTTACTAAATTTCTAACTGGGATTATATTACTTTAAAGGGATAATTCATCCAGGCATTTCTATAAAGATTGTACCAATAAATAATTCGGGGAGATAAGATAGAAGAGATACTACCCGTTGAACTAACAATTCAGAGATTGTCTTTTTTACTAAATCTCACCTATTATTAGAAGAAATAGAAGAGATACTGCTTGCCGAACTTACATTTCCAGAAGCTGTCTTGTTAACCTTCTGTATGGTTTCAGCCTGGATAATAAACAACTCATACTTATAAATTCTCCTTTTATTTGGTTTATTAGGTTCAAATTGGCCCCTTTTTACATGCCATTTATAGAGATCAAGCTTGTCTTAAATTTGTTAACTGAACTTACTTTTTACCAAGAACTTTTTTTCCCATAAAATACATGATCAACTTTTATGAAATATTTAAATAATCCCATGTATCAATAATGTATGCTTTTTAATGTTAGTACAACATTAGTAGAACGTTATTTGGTTTGATGGGTATACCTCTGAATCTCTTCTTTGATCTAAAAGATGCTTCTCTCTCTGCTGTAAATAATGAGCCTGATTCTTCTCCTAAGAGATTGGAGTTTTTGGTGGATATTTTCAATAATGAATTCTTAATATCAATATAGGATTTGATGATAGGATGTTTAAAGGAACTGAATCTTTGCCACTAACTCATACTTTCTCATTCCTATATCTTTGCAACCTAAAGGTACAAACCTTTAATATTTCAATTTTACACTGTATGATCAAACAAAATTCCGAGTTGCAATGTAATTGGGATTGAAAAATTTGAGCTTTTGGAAATTGTGCCTGAGTCCTCAGGCATACTTCCTGAATGCCTTATATTACCGTTACCTAACTATATCTATAATTAGACTCACTCCCGGTTATTGGATTTCATCATTTTATAGCTCTTTTAAAAGTATTGACCAAAAGGAAGCAGAAATTTTTTTTTGGCAGATTATTCATAGGCTTTCCAAAAGTGTATCAAATGTTATAGATTTTTTACACAAAAATGTTGTTGATTATTTTAAACAATTTTTAATATTAGGTACTGCCAGTACCAGCTCCTGAAGTCTGTGCTGGTCATATCCCCTGTCTCTCATCCCAGTTTATATCCAGTACACTACTAGTAGGTTAGCACCATTATTCTGAAATTCAACACATTGGAGATAAAGCTGGGCAACAGCAGGTTGAATGACACACATTAATTTTGAGATCGTAAATTTTTTTAAATAAAGACTGTTACTGCATTTATATAATTACCATTGTTAAGAGCAGTAACTTTAGGAGAGAATAGGTGACTAGAATGAATGTTCTGTTTTTAGATCAGAACATCCAAATACAAAAGATAATTTAAAATGAATTTAAATATTATTAGTGTTAAACTTTGACCTATCATCTAGTATATAAATGCCATTTTAAATAATCCCAATACATTCTTTTAAAGGGACTGTTATTTCAAATGATTATCTCTTTACAGAGTGGTATGTCTGATATAAAACAGTTACATGTAAAACTATGTCTGCTGGAAAATAATGGAGTTAACTCTTTTTTATCTAAAAATTTGTTTTTTTGTTTATGGTTACAAAAAAAAAGTTTTTTGCAGATTTTATGTTAAATTGATAAAAATTAATTGAATTGAAGTTGTTACTTTGAAAATTGTCTCGGCTACTTTTAGATAAGTGCTCTCTATAAAATATACGTTTTGGAAATGTTCATGGGAAATTGTACATTGAAAAAATGTCTTAGATGTTATAAACATTGGAAACTTGTAATCTTAGATAAATTGTGTACATAGGAAAATCCCATTAGGAAAATTTTAACCAAGAAAATCCTTTTGGAAAGAACCAGTGATTACACTTCCAAACACTGTTGTAAACTGAATGCATTGAATAAATTTATTATTTACTGCACTAGAAACTAAGGCTGTGCATAACAATTGGATAGATTAATGGAACAGAGAGACCCATAACGTACAATGATTACCAGAAAACTTTTACTATTATCTCATTAAATCCTTCTTTAAGTAAAATTGGACTGTTTACATTGCACAATTGTTGTTTATTATGGTCCTAAGTCTATTTAAAATCATACATTAAGTAAAAAGGTTGTCTACCTATTCCAGAGTTTTCTGGTTCTCACTATGTTTATTTTTTACTATTAACTGAACTTAAAATTTTTAGACAAAAAATCAGTTAAAAGGGCTTTCTGTTCGATGACAAGTTTATGAATTTTCTATAATTTTCCAAAACTGTGATTTAGTAAAGAAAAGTTGGCCAGCCCTACTCAAATTGTGAAATAAATAATAAATAAAGAGCATGGAGGTTTAATGTCATGCATCAGCATCATATAGAGTGTCTCACTAAACATGACAGTTTGAAGGTCATCTTTAATCTTCGATTACTTCTTTCAGAGATCCTTAAATTTAGATCACCAAAAAAAAGTTAATCTTTATTAGATCGTAAAACACAACAAAGGTTGAATTTGTGTTATAAAACAATTGTGCATCTAGGTGCAGGGAACTAGGTATTAAAGGAAAAGACTAAGTAAAATCTCAGACAGTTGTCACTGAAAACTCATTCATTGTGGATAACCCTGTTTGAATACCAGTTAAATCCTGGATTAATAGTTTAACTGCTTCTATTATAGGAAAGCAGATAGTTACCGACTATTGGAGGCTGAAAGGAATGTGAAGTGCAAAAATGAATTATTATGTAAAGAATACAATATGTGGTGAGAGAGTAGTCTTAGAAACCGGTGGAGTCCTGATTATTGACGGTTTAACTTTACTTCAAGGGTTAGAGATATGTCGTCTTCTAAATAGTTTTCTACAGGGCTTCCAATAAACATAGAGATTTTATGGTTTCAAACTATAGGTAATGGTTTAAACTTTAGCAAAGTTTAACTTTAGACCCCTTTATTACCCATTAAATGTATCAATGGGCTCCCTTAAAAAACATGTCAGCCAACTTAGTCTACCCATTTGGCCAGCTATAATGAACAAATATATCTGAACAAAGAGCTAATTATTATTACTTTATTACTTTATTATTTATTACTAGCTGAAGTGACTGGCCTTGCTGAAGGAATAAAATAAAGATTTGAATTAAAAAAAAATCCAATTAAAAAAAAATTTGCATATTGTTGAGTAAGAATCCAACTCCAAATCCGAATATTGTCTGAAACTTCTTTTGAAATGCATCACAAGATTCTAATAACAATTCCAATTTGTTTTAATTATTTCTAGAATGATCAGAAATAGATCCACAAATTATGCATTCAATTCTTGAAACTAAACCAAAACCTTTCTTCTCATCCTTTAATCCTCTAAAACAAACCAGGCTAATTTCATTCTAATCCTTGATAGATCCCCAGTTGAGTATATATTTTACGTTGTTGCGTGGTTGCGCAATTTCTATGGCCTTGAAATTGAATTGGATAGTAAAAATTATCATGATGAATTTAGATGTAAAAGAAATAAAAAAGAAAAAAACTTTCCTTTTCAATGTTCAAACATTATTACCAATAATTTGTCAATCCCTGTAATCTACTAATATTAAATGTTAAATCAAAATTTTCAAAGAAATTCAGCACCGAGATCGGAGTAGGACTGATCTCGGTGCTGAATTTCTTTACTAACCGGCGGATAACTGAGTTTTCCGGCGGTTAATTGAGACAAACTTCACCGCCAAGGAACCACGACTTCACAAGATATGTCCCAGTTGACTGTCCTTGTTTATGTTTAACGAGGAACCTTCAATGTTCCTCGTTAGTACATTTCTTAATTATAATTTTCCTTTTATTATGTAGCCTCACTACTAACAAGCTATTATAATCACTCTTTAATTTAAAAGCTAGTTTATGCAGCCACAATACGATTGAGCTAACATAATTTCTCTTTAATTTAAAAAAAAAGAAAACTAGCCTCCGTGTATGTATTTTGAAAACATGCACAAAAGTCATGTTTAGCACTTTCTAATATGCGATTACACAAACTGTGTTTTTAATATCTCTCAGTCGTATTGCATAGAGATATGCTATCCTTTTATTAATAATGTAGTTTGATTTTTTCTCATGACACGCCGCCTTACCAATACTTGAATATAAATGTATCATCAATTTTGGCACACAAAAAAACAATAAAATGTATCCGTAATTTATTCTTCCCAATTAATTTAAAAATGTATGTTCACAATATTATCGTATAATAGTTTTATTTAATGTAACATGTAACATGTAAACAATTTTGTACAATTAATATAGTCTCGATACGGAGATAATAAATATCTAAATTTAAAAAAAAAAATTTCAAAGTTTGAATTTTTAAAGAGAGAAATTTTGTTGGAAATTAAATTTGTTTGTAAAAGAATTGTTTATGTAAATGTAAAGGGGTGTCGGAATTGAATTCAGTTTTGATTACTTCTAATTTTACTTCTATATCTGTTGCATATATAAGTAGAAAATGGCTAAAACATCTGATAGCAAAGAGAGTAGAACCCAGAAAAATTCATGGAGTTGCATTGTTCAAAATAAGTCAATTAAATTTAAAACTAAATATTAATATATTACATGTTATAAATGTTGAATTCAACTTGTGGCATTCATATCTAGTGTAACAGTTTGCAAATCATAATATTAGAGATCCGGAGTGAATATTTGCAAATTATCTTTTTTCTCTCTGATGATCTGAGTTTGTTTCCCTTTTGTCTATTTGACAGCCCGATTTTTTAAAAAAGTTTGTTTATTTTCTTGTGGTTTTAACATTTTTTTTTTATCAATTTTGAGGGTTATTATATCGTCAGAACTGACAAAGGTCAACACAGACCAAAATATATTTTCAATAAATGTGGAACTAGCATCTACTTTTTTACTCTACAGAGGTTTGGTTCATCACCATCTCCAAAATTAAATCAGCCTATACATCCTTTCTTTTTTCGCGAACACTCCCATTAATTTACAAAGTTGAATAGGATTATGGTTGTATTAATGTGGGGATAATCTAATTTAGGAAATTTTTCATTTGGAATTATAAAAACTTTAAAAAAGAAAAAGTTGTCCAAGCTTAAACTTTTTATTAAAGTTTAATTTTAGATTGTTCAGTAAGATAATTTTTCGTTTAGCCTGAAGGGCTCTCAAGTTTTTAGAATTTAATAAATTTATAATTTTATATATTTTCTAGATAAAAGGAATACCGATGTAAACACATTATCAAAATGAAAGGACATTTTCTCCAATGTTGTAAAGTTTACAGGATAGATTAATGGGATTTACATAAATACTCTTTATATATATATATACTTTGCTTGTCTGTTTGTTTGTGACTGCTAAACATCTTAAAGGCTGAACCGATCTGGGCCAAATTTTTTGTGGTACCTCACAAAAAGGTTTATTGATGCTTATAATTACAAAAATATGTCTCCTAAAAATTTATATTTTTGTAAAATTTTGAAAATCCACGAAATTTTTTTATTAAATTTGCGAACTGTTTTTGTTATTGTTTTATATTGTAAAAAGAGAAGATGCTCTCAAAGAGGACCACAATTGAAATTTAAAATAAAGAAGATGGATGTTTGTAACATGTATCTTCAATATTCAAGGTATGTCAATCTGATAGTTTCTATTCCAAAAAACGTCAAACCAATTACATAGATCCAATTTTTCATGACTGGGTCTACTTTGAAGTGCCCAAGCACCTAGACCTTTGATTTTACCTCGCTAACACGCTTCTTTTTTGTAGCCCTAGATGTTTACATTTTAAAACTATAAATCATATGTTTTAGCTTAAGTTTTAAAGCAGTAATTGGAAAAAATTTGTGAGAGTATGGTCCTGATAGGTACAAACATTTTGTTGGACCTTACATGACCCCAGGAAAATTTTCAGTTGTAAATTTTTCAATGACAATACATAGAAAAATAAGGCTTGCAATTTAAGTAACATTTTAAATGCAAGATAAGTAAAGGTAATCGGGAAAGCCCCTAATTTCTGTATAATCTAAAAATAGCACAACAATTCCCAAAAAAGTTACACTAGAAATTTTCATAAACAAATATTTTATTTGCTGGGAGTAATGTAAACAAACTCGTTCTGCTCATTCCGAGTTTATTTTCCTTCTAAGTTGCAGTACAATTGTTTTGTAAACAAAGATATGTAAGTATGTATTTGTTGTCAATTTAATGATATTTTAGAGTGAGACAAAAAAAAAGGACAGCCGGTTTTGAATGTTCTTAATATGTGAAATTCTAATGAGGACGTAAACATTGAGGACACCGATTAAAGATGATGTATTTCTGTTAAGGTATATTAAGAACTCACAAGAGACACACATACATCCAGCTTTATAAATTGGATATATGAAACTTGATGTTGCGTGTATATTTTACTATATCATGTTAGATGTTTTTTTAAAACTAACTAGAATTATAAATAAGAACCAAACAGGCTCTTTAATTAATTTAGTTTCGAGTAAAATTTTCTTTTCTACAAATATAAAATAGAATTATGGTGCGGGATATACCTACACTGTACACAGGGGAAACAAACCAACTTTTATTCCAACACACAGTTTTACCTTACTGATGGTATATCTTTTGCGAGGTCTTTTGTGAGATCTTTTGTGAGATCTTTTGTGAGATCTTTTGCGAGAGCTTTTGTGAGATCTTTTGCGAGATCTTTTGTGAGATCTTTTGTGAGATCTTTTGTGAGACTTTTGCAAGATCTTCTGTTAGATCTTTTGTGAGATCTTTTGTGAGATCTTTTGCGAGATCTTTTGTAAGATCTTTTGTGAGATCTTTTGTGAGCTCTTTTGTGAGATCTTTTGTGAGATCTTTTTGCAAGATCTTTTGTGAGATCTTTTGTGAGATCTTTTGCGAGATCTTTTGTGAGATCTTTTGCGAGATCTTTTGCAAGATATTTTGTGAGATCTTTTGTGAGATCTTTTGCAAGATCTTTTGTGAGATCTTTTGTTAGCTCTTTTGTGAGATCTTTTGCAAGATCTTTTGTGAGATCTTTTCTGAGATCTTTTCTGAGATCTTTTGCAAGATCTTTTGTGAGATCTTTTGCGAGCTCTTTTGTGAGATCTTTTGTGAGATCTTTTTCGAGATCTTTTGTGAGATCTTTTGTGAGATCTTTTGTGAGATCTTTTGTGAGATCTTTTGGAGATCTTTTGTGAGATCTTTTGTGAGATCTTTTGTGAGATCTTTTGTGAGAGATCTTTTGTGAGATCTTTTGTGAGATCTTTTGTGAGATCTTTTGTGAGATCTTTTGCAAGATCTTTTGTGAGATCTTTTGTGAGCTCTTTTGTGAGCTCTTTTGTGAGATCTTTTGCAAGATCTTTTGCAAGATCTTTTCTGAGATCTTTTGTGTATTGATCTCCATCTCATACAGACTTAATTTAATTCGAGGATAACTTGAATCAAGTATTTATTGTCAAATTGGAAGTGTCTACATTGGATATTGAGATCGAGCTTTCAATCTGAGTGTATAATCAGTATTTTAATAAAGGGCTGGTAAAAAATTCTCAAATTTGTTTTGCATTAACTAGAAAGTATATCAGATAGATACCCTATTAGTCATCCATAGCAGCATTTGTGAAATGTAACCAAATCTGGTGAATATTTTGCCAGTAAACTTGTCAAGAGAAATAGAGACTTTTTTCAAGTTTAAAAATCTATTAGTCAGAGTTTCTTTTTGTTTTGACTCGAAAGTTGTTTTAAGTTGGACACCAGCCTTTTTGGTGTTTGTTGTACAACAGACTTTTAAGGTGTTTGTTGGACACCAGACTTTTAGGGTGTTTGTTGCACACCAGACTTGTAGGGTGTTTGTTGGACACCAGACTTTTAGGGTGTTTGTTGGACACCAGCCTTTTTGGGTGTTTGTTGTACAACAGACTTTTAGGGTGTTCGTCGGACACCAGACTTTTAGGGTGTTTGTTGGACACCAGCTTTTTAGTTTGTTTATTGAACAGTAGTCTTTTAGGGTGTTGGTTGGACAACATACTTTTAGGGTGTTTGTTGAACAGTAGACTTTTAGGGTGTTGGTTGGACAACATACTTTTAGGGTGTTTGTTGAACAGTAGACTTTTAGGGTGTTGGTTGGACAACATACTTTAGGGGTGTTTGTTGAACAGTAGACTTTTAGGGTGTTGGTTGGACAACATACTTTAGGGTGTTTGTTGAACAATAGACTTTTAGGGTGTTGGTTGGACAACATACTTTTAGGGTGTTTGTTGAACAGTAGACTTTTAGGGTGTTGGTTGGACAACATACTTTAGAGTGTTTGTTGAACAGCAGAAATTTATGCAAAAATACTGGTTTGACTTTAAACCTTGTAGCTCAATTAGTATTGATTTTATGCACAAGTGTGAGAAAAAAGTAATTGAGTCTTTGCCACAACTTATATTCTAAACCCTTTATTTATAAAGAGTCAATCCATCTATGTTTCAAAGGTCAATCTGTATACTACAGTACTCGGGGGTGATTTCTGAAAATATTTAAATGGAGAATTTATTTTCCATTTAACTAATAAAATCCACTACACCATTATCGTGTGCAGGATTACATTTTCACAGGAGGACGTCTTTTATAGAGCAATATTTCATCGTTAATAAACTGTTCTGATAAGACTCAGTAAAATTAAAGATAAGCAACCTCCCCATACAAAAGCGAACTGCATATTCGATGTTTGAACTGTATGATTATGCCATAATCTCTTTTTATCCTTTATCAGTAAACTGTCTTAGGTGTCTGGCTAATATACACATAAGAGGTAGCTAAGATCCAGCCCCCCTGTTTGCAATGTCGTAGACCTTAGATAATTCAAGAATTGAATTCTGTTGGATCAAATCTATATATAAATTTGGCTTGTCTGTCTGTTTGTTTGTTTGTTTGGGTTTAATCGATTATAATTATAATAGTTTATTGCCGCCATCAACTCACTAGATGACTTAAACCATGCAAGCCAAGAGATGTTTTTAATCTATTATTTGATTCCTGTATAAAACAGTATCCAATAGATTTAATAATTATGTTTGTTTTTCATGGTTTTAAATGTTGTAATGTTATTGACAGTTATCAAAGAAATGTAACAGCTACGATAGTTTTGTTGTTTAAGTTTACAGTGTGAAATGAAAATTTCCCCTGGTGATCCAAATTTTCCCCAACTTTGAAAGGGGTTTTCCCCATCATGAGTCGAGATTTCTTCAGTTCTGTTGATTTTGTGTTTAGTCTGTTGGGGGTTTCTTCTGTGCTCTCATTTTTGCGGATCTTTTCTAGAACTAGTTTTCCAGATCCCTGGGTTCTTCGAACCATTTCCAGAGTTGGGTCCCACAACCGGTCAGATCTATCCCTTTCTTTATCCTTCTTCTTTCTCCTCAAGTCCCGGACTTTCAGCAGGAAATTCTCAAAATTATTTTGGATCGATCTGAAACATGATTTAATGTTTTCTATTTGGTCTCTTTTAAAACTTGTTTTAAACTTAAACATTCTTTTTCGATTATTAGAAAATTTTTAATTTGAAAGCAAATTCAAAACGCCCAATTCTAGAATTCAAAGTCAAGAAAAGCAATTGTCAAAAAAATCCGACAAAAATTTGGGTGTTTCTTATAAATATTGACAACATTAGAAAGGAGTTCAGTTTTTGCCACAAACGCTGATTTTCTAATCTCTATATCTTCGTAACCTAATGTCGAAGACCTTAGATATTTCAAACTATTAATACTTATAGATAAAATATTCTAAGTTTGAAATATCAAAGGTGTGCACCATCAGGTTGCAAAGATATTGGAATCAGAAGATTTGAGTTTGTGGCAAAAACTCAATTCCTTTGCAAAAAGAATTTTTCCAATCTCCAAATATGAAAATATTTTCTGAATCTAAAAGTAGAATTTGTTTAAATTATATCAAAGGCTTGAAGCCTGACAAAGATCTCAAAGTCAGAAAAGTTTCAAAATATATTTCTCTTTTGATTTGTTTCGACTTGGTTACTATTTTCATGTTTTTATATTTATTTGCAGAAAACAACAACAACAAATTTTCTCACACTTGTTTTGGATAAATTGCATTCACTGATTTGAGGCCCGAAAGTTTCCCCTCCATAAAATAATTAATTTTGTTTGTGTTTGCGTTTTATTTCTATAAGAGCTAATTTTATCAAACCAAAAGCAGAATTTTTTTTACGTAGTTGGTCTTTCGTTGTATTATGAAATGTAATTTACAGTGGTCAGCCTTCATATCAATATATCCAATACGACTTTTCTGTTCTGTTATTTAAAAATTAGCGCCCTCTAAGGCTAGAAAGAAGGGCGCGAAGCGCCTTGAATTTCTAGTTGTCTAAATTAGAGATATCAAAGGTGACATCATTAAGCTGCAAAGATAAAGAGATTAGAAAATTAGAGTTTGTGACAAAGACTCAATTCCTGTATCCGGTTAAATAGAAGAGTATCAAAACATTTTTGTTCTTCTCAATAGATCTTTAATAAGTAAATAAGAGGAGTTATGATGGAAAACATATAAAATTTACATTAGTTTGACGTGAATTCTACGATATTTCTACAATATGGTTGATTCTTTTTTATTGAAATCTTTAATATTGAAAACTGTACAATAATTTCTGACATGAACATATTAACAAATATTAACTAAAAATTATCTATCAACAGAACACTTAATCGTACTGATGGTCGATGGAGAGTATTTTTGTTTAAGATATTGGGTATTTGCCCAAATATCAAATTTTCTAATTCCTAAATCCTTGCAACCTGGTGTTGTAAAACTAAGATTTTTTAAATTACATAGATCATAGTTTGAAATACCTTATCTTTGGTCGACGACACCGGTGGCCGAATTTAAAGAATTTGAGCGGCGGTTTAAATTTAAGCCGCGGCTTAAATATGGTTGGTTCCACTTAAAATTGCATCAAAAGTTTCAAGATTTAAGCCGGCGCTTAATTTAAACCGGGTTTTTGCAGATTTAAACCGCGGCTCAAATTCTTTAAATTCCATCTCGGGTTACAAAAACATAGGGATTAGAATATCAGAGTTTGTGGCAAACATTAATTCATTTGAAAATTTTGTTAGGAACAATAAAAAGATTGTTCAGGAATTAGGAACAAAAATAAAGGATTAGGACAGGAACTTAGGAACAATAAAAAGATTGTTCAGGAATTAGGAACAAAATTAAAGGATTCGGACAGGGATTTAGTAACAATAAAAAGATTGTTCAGGAATTAGGAACAAAAATAAAGGATTAGGACAGGGGATTTAAGGTGGGTCGGACACAGGAACAGGAACAATAATAGGAACATTAGCAATTTAAGAACAAAAAGAAATTACTAGTTATACTTAAATGCATGAAAATTAGGAACAATATTACAATTTTGATAAATGAGTATTGATTAAGAAACATCACTAGATATAAACAATATTATAACTTAACTTACAAATTTCTAATTCTAAATTTATCGATAACAATAACATTTATCAAATTGGGAACATGTTTTGCCTCGAAATCTCAGGGGGGGCTACGCCCCTCCCTGAATCTGTCAGGGGGGGCGAATGTCCCCCCACCTCCCCTTGTATCCACCCCTGTGTAGAGTAAATAAAGTAGATGTTAGTTCCATATTTTATTGAAAATATATTTAGGTCTGGGTTGACCCTCGTCAGTTCTTGATGAGATTGTTTATGCCATGAAGATTAAAAACAAACTTGAAGTTTTTATCTCTAAAAAGCATTTTTTCAAATTTGAAGTTCACGGGTATAAAGTTAGAAGCGTGTTAATTAGCAGCTTTTCCATGCTAATTGAACAGCTTAGTAGAAACCAAATCGAAAGTCGTCTTCATTATATTGATATATGTGACAACGATTGGATGGATTTTGTAATTGATTTATTCATAAAACATGCTTGTAGACAAATCTTAATCAAGGATTAATAGGATATTCTTGTTACTTTTAATAGAAATTTATTGTTTTTAAATATGGAATCTCTTTAAACATTTCTTGCGGCACATGCACGACTTAGCACTCTTAAATAGGAGGTTTGCTTGAAAATCACGTGTCTATTCAGTTTTTTTTTAATGACTACATATCTAGTTCCACTGTGTTCTGGTTACTTCTGTATGCAACAAATGTGATCAATACAAAAAGTTTATGCTTTTCTAAATTTTAGGTATACCAAAGACCCCAAGCCTAGACTGCATTATGTCAGGATCTACAAGATTCCTAGAGTTGGTCAGTCAGAATTTTAAGAATGACTGACCTTGGTTCCGATCTATGAGCTGTCCTTTCCTCGCTGATTTTAAGATAATATTTCTCGTCTGTAGATGTTAAAAAGTTACCATACTTGAGATTCTCTATCAGTATACTGTCCTTAAAATATTAAAGATTAATCATCTGTCAACAAAGATTTAATCAAAATCAAAGATTAGTTTATAAAGAATATAGCTCGGCGTGTGGAACATATCAATAGCAAAAATTTGTTTGGGTATCCACATAATTGTAATGCTTTCTGCAGTCTTCAAGTTACCAGAAATCTTCCCCCCCATGCACCCGAAACTTTTTTCCAGATGATCAACTAAAAACTGCTCAACCATGATTGGTGCTCTCCTGTCGCTGAAAAGCAATTGAACTCATTTTATGCTTATTTTGCTCATATTTTTAGATGTAAAATATCAGATTAGTTGCGAGCATCTAGCTACTAATTATGCATATTTATGAACAGAATTACCTACATTATTACATTAGGTTTATCCTTTGTGGAGATTCATGCATAATAATTTAAAACTCGGAAGCAAGGTTGTTTAATTGAAATGTCAAACTTGGTGAAATGTGTAATCTAAGGATATGTAGGTTCAAGGATTAGAACAAAAATTTAAAATTAAAAAAAATATATATTTTGGAATTGTATTTACTGAGTCGAAAACAAAAATTACGCAAGTTTTAAATAAAAAAAATACTGTAAAAGAATTAATTCAGGGTAGAGAAAATTAAATCTTGTAAAATATGTGTTATACAGTAAGAACCAGAAAACTGTGAAATAGGAAGACGACTTTAAAGCATTAGTCTTATTTTTATATTCTTAGTTCCCTGTAACATAATTATATTCTTTCACCAAATTATCAAGTATTTCATTTGACGACAACATCGTTATAATTTTAGTGTTTTATTTTTGCTTTGAATTCTGTTTTAAAAGTATATAAAGCAGATTAGTATATGGGATTTTAAATAAATAATTAAAAATTAATTTATTTCGATATAGCCAGAATATTCTTAGCTGGATATTCTTAGTAGGATATTCACAGTAGGATATTCTTAGCAGGAAATTCTAAGCTAGATATTCTCAGCAGATTATTTTTAGCCGGATATTCTTAGTAGGATATGCTTAGCTAGATATTTTTAGCAGGATATTCTTAGCAGGATAATCTTAGCAGGATATTCTTAGCAGAATATTCTTAGCTGGATATTCTTAGCTGGATATTCTTAGCTGGATATTCTTAGCTGGATATTCTTAGCTGGATATTCTTAACAGGATATTCTTAGCTGGATATTCTTAATAGGGTATTCTTAGCTGGATATTCCTTGATGGATATCCTCAGCAGGATATTCTTAGCTGGATATTCTTACCTTGGTATTTGTAGCTGGATATTCTTAGCTGGATATTCTTGGCAGAATATTCTTAGCGGGATATTCTTAGCGGATTAATCTTAGCAGGATATACTTAGCTTGATATTCTTATCTGGATTTTCTTGACAGGATATTCTTTGCAGGATATTCCTAGCTGGATATTCGTAGCTGGATATTCTTAGAAGATTATTCCTGGCTGGATATTTGCAGTAGGATATTCTTAGCTGGATATTCTTATTAGGATAATCTTAGTAGGATATTCTTAGTAGGATATTCTTAGCTGGATATTCATAGCTCTGGATATTTTTAGTAGGATATTCTTAGCTGGATATTCTTAGTAGGATATTCTTAGCTGGATATTCATAGCTCTGGATATTTTTAGTAGGATATTCTTAGTAGGATATATTCTTAGCTGGATATTTTCAGCAGAATATTCTGATCTGATCAGAGCTGAAAACTTTAGAATGCGATATCCTTCATCACGATTGGTTAATTAATCTGGAGATTAATAACAAGAGGAGAAGAAGCATTATTTAATCTGGAGATTAAGAAAAAGAGTAGATCAAGCATTTATCCCGATATCCACTATTCAAGAGTTCCCAGCTCTGATCTATTAAGTTTGGCCTGTAAAGGTATACCTGGATTTCTGAAGTTTGAAAAGTGTCAGCAAGCATCAAGAAAGCAAGACAGCCCCTCAAAAATAACATTTTCTGAAAAGAAAATTAAGTTTCTAAAAAGTACAAAAAGAGGAAAAGACTATAAAGATGTACAACATTTATTTAATTTAAAATTTTAAAAAATCTTGCTGAAGATTGAACAAAAAAGTTAAAAGAGAAAATACATTTTCTCTCACCAGACCAGGATAATTTGATTCTTTGAAGCCGAGAAAAATATATTTTTTAAAAAGTTTCATCTCTCAACACCGTCAATTACATATTTGCAATTTAAAAAAAAACATGATGTGAGACATCATAGTTTTTATTTAGTTATTAGATGTTCATGTTTTAATGTTCTGATATTTAAAAAAAAGTTTATTCATTTTTTTACATTTATGTGTTCGACTTTTAATGTTTACTGCATGATTTATGCTATAGCTTTTGGGTTTTTAAAAATTTCCGTGTGTTTACGTTTATTCATTTTTTGTGTGGTGATTATATGTGTTTGTGTTCTTGTTTTCAATTTTTTTAAAAGATTTTAAAGCTTGTTTCTAGCGCATCGTTTAAAGTATTTTGCGGTCTCATATAAATTTTTTGTCATATACTATAGAAATCCTAATGTTGTAGCCGAAGCTTATAGTAAATCTTTCGAACACTCTGTAAGCATTGGTCTATCATTTTTATTGGTTGGCGATCGCAAATCCTACCCTAATCAGAATAAAGAAATCCATGTAACCTTAAACCCATTCCTACTGACGTATCCTCTGCCTGAAATATCCATACTAATACTTTTTGGGTAATGTAACGTTCAAAGAGAGTTCAGCAACTTTTTACATTGATAACACATTGATATTTTATGAGGACAAATAAAAAAGACTTTTTGTATTGTATATTTTAGTTTACAGGAAGTACTTGTACATTTTTTAAAAAATAGGCCAAAATATTTGCAACATTTAAAACGTAAATTCAAGAAAAAGCTGAAAATATGCTAAGTCATTTACAGGCATCTATAAATAAATATGCGCAAAACTACTTTGCAAAAACTGTGCAATCTGCAAAAGGGAAAAGAAGGCATTTAGGCAGTATGCCCGAGGACTCAGGCAGTAGGTATATAAGCCAACTTTTCAAACCAAGTGAATCGGAAAATGGGTCAATTGATTTTAAGAATGTATTTATGTTCAATATTTACAGTGCAATGTATGAAAACCATTTGTAAAGAGTCCAAACACAACATTCTTATAGAAATGTCAAATATTGTATGAAATATTACGAGAAAGGGATGATTTATAAATATTCTACTTAAAAGGAATATTCACGAGTTTTAAGAGTTTTAAACTCATACTAATCTTCTTTTATGTCTACTTTAAATATTAAGGAAAGTGGGCTAAAAATCTTTTTAGGTGAAATTCGCATGACATTTTTTTCTCATAAAAGCATCAAACATCCTTGTTGGTAAACATTCTTTTATCTTAATTTCTTAAAATATCTGTACCTATAGTTTGCGCACTTTTATCAATTAACAATTTTAAATACTATGCAATGATTAATAGCCATAAACTCTAATTTTCTAATTCTTTTAACTTTTTTACATGTAGAGTAAAAAATTTCAAGCTTGATTTGAGTAATCAGTTCCTTGGAAGTAAAAAGAAGAGACTGCCCCCATATCTGCTTCATTTTGTGGGTAATTCAAACTTTTATTGCAGCAACAGACATTCCCTACTTTTCTGCAGTGGAATTTCTATTCATTTTTTGTCGGAAAAGTTTTGGAAAGGTTTTATATTGTCTTGATTACATTAATGTGAGAAGGTTGTGTGTAGAAACATCACCCAGTAGGGAAATATAGAGAATTTATTTTATACAATTTATAGTTTTTAGAAAACTTGGAATTCAGGATGTTGTATAATGTGAATGTATTTATTGTTTACAATTTACAACTTAAGAAAGAAATTAAATGCTGCATTTTATAAGTGATATATTTTTATGCTATTATTTTTTCCTCACACATATAAAAAAATATATTTTTCACTTTATTTTAAAATTCTAATATTCTAACTTTTTGATATTTCAACACTTAAATATTTTGACTTTCTAATAGCATAAAATTTTAATATTTTACCCCTTGGAAGGGTTAAGGTTTGAAGATTCTCTGGTTTTCAATTATCATTTCGAAATGAAGAGGTTAGATTGGAAAAATTCTCAGGGAGCTAGAACATTTGCTTAAAGAAACTAAATCTGCAAAAATATTTAAACAAAGAGCAATCAATATTTATCTTGAGAATTATGAGAGGTTTAAATGGGAAAAACCTAGTCGTATATCGTGTGAATAAATTTTATATCAAAAACTAAGAAAACTGAAACTTTATTAGCTTATTTGTGTTTGTGTATCCACCATCCATCCCTGTATTTTAATTTATCTCTACATTAATCCCTCTGATCTCACCCTGCCACAGATCATCTGACAGTCTCCTTCCTTCCAATCAACTCCTTACCTATCCAAAAACATAACTTGATATGTGTAACCAATTTTATTCAGTATCGTTAACTAACTTAGGGCCAACCACTCAAAACAACCTTCTCTGGTAAGGCGGGTCCAAACTGCATATTAAATTGTGATTGCTTATTTGTAATATCTCATGCTTTGTAGTTGAATAAAAATATGAAATGAAAATGAACTGGAGATTAATGTGTATGTGTAGAGATGAGATATATGTGTTTGTGAAGAGATGAGATATATGTGTATGTGAAGAGATGTTGAGATAAACTGCGGAGATTTGAGATTAAAAACCTCCTCTCTCTGCAACCAATCTTTAGATACCTACTTACACCTTCATACTTATACACAACATAGTTATGCTTTATTATATTGGTCGTTCATGATTTCAAGGTGGAAGGGGGGGGGGGGGTTGTAGATTTTATTGTACACTCTTGGCATCTAGACAAACTATAATTTTAATGTTGATGATTGGTTATTATTGACAATTATTATTTACTTTTTTATTATTTATGAATATTATCTACTTTTAATTTCTTCATTAAGGAAGTGATATAAAAGGTGTTAGGAAGCTAGGAGAGAATATAAAAGATGTTAGGAAGATAGGAGAGAATGTAAAAGATGTTAGGAATCTAGAAGAGAATGTAAAAGATGTTAGGAAGCTAGGAGGGAATATAAAAAGTTGTTAGGAAGCTAGGAGAGAATATATAAGATGTTAGGAAGCTAGGAGAAAATATAAAAGATGTTAGGAAGCTAGGAGAAAATACAAAAGATGATAGGATGCTAGGAGAGAATATTAAAGGTATTAGGAAGCTAGGAGGGAATATAAACGGTGTTAGGAAGCTATGAGAGATTATAAAATATGTTAGGAAGCTAGGAGAGAATATGAAAGGTGTTAGGAAGCTAGGATGGAATATAAAATGTTGTTAGGAAGCTAGGAGAGATTATAAAAGGGGTGAGGAAGCTAGGAGAGAACATAAAAGGTGTTAGGAAGCTATGAGAGAATATAAATGGTGTTAGGAAGCCAAGAGAGAATATAAAGGTGTTAGGAAGCTAGGAGAGAATACAAAAGGTGTTAGGAAGCTAGGAGAGAATATAAAAGGTGTTAGGAAGACAAGAGAGAATAAAAAAGGTGTTAGGAAGCTAGGAGAGAACACAAAAGGTGTTAGGAAGCTAGGAGAGAATACAAAAGGTGTTATGGAAGCTAGGAGAGAATATAAAAGGTGTTAGGAAGACAAGAGAGAATACAAAAGGTATTAGGAAGCTAGGAGAAAATATTAAAGATGTTAGGAAGCTAGGAGAGAACATAAAAGGTGTTAGGAAGCTATGAGAGAATACAAAAGGTGTTAGGAAGCTAGGAGGGAATATAAACGGTGTTAGGAAGCTATGAGAGAATATAAAAGATGTTAGGAAGCTAGGAGAGAACATATAAGGTATTAGGAAGACAATTGAGAGAATACAGAAGGTGTTAGGAAGCTAGAGAGAATGCGGAATATTTTATAAAGTTTAGGAAGTTGTTTTGCATTCAACTTGAAATCCTAGCATAAAATATTCACACAAGCTGTAGGCTTTAATCTGCTAGAGATATTCTATATATAGGTAGATAGTAGATAGTAGATAGCAGGTAGTAGATAGTAGATAGTAGGTATTAGATAGTAGGTAGTATAGATAGTAGATAGTAGATAGTAGATAGTAGATAGTAGATAGTAGATAGTAGATAGTAGATAGTAGGTAGTAGATAATGATAGTAGATAGTAGATAGTAGATAATAGATAATAGATAATAGATAGTAGATAGTAGATAGTAGATAGTAGATAGTAGATAGTAGATAGTAGATAGTAGATAGTAGATAGTAGATAGTAGATAGTAGGTAGTAGATAGTAGATAGTAGATAGTAGATAGTAGATAGTAGGTTGTAGATAATGTAGTAGATAGTAGATACGCGATTTTAAAAACTATTTCTCTAAAATAAATTAATCTCGTTTAAAGTTAGCACTTCGGATGAAATTTGGAAAAATAAACTTATTTTAATAAACAAATTGACTTAGAGAGGGGGTTCAGAGTTGTTGCAAAAGTTCCTTGGGAAAATGGGTTCCTTAAAGATATATCTATAGTTGTTTCCTTTAGTATCAAAATGAAATCAACTTGAAACTTGGTTTGGTTTGGGGCTTATTTGGTGAAAACAAATGATTTGTTAAATATAAATTCAACAAAAAATTAAGAATTAATGTGGTTTGCTAATATTTCGTTATTTCTCAAGTCTAGCTTAACCATTTTGCAATTTTAATTGCTAAATAGTTTATTAGCTATTGATTATTATTAGTCTTACTTTTCATAGACAACTGTGGCCGGCGAAAAAGCCAATTTATCGTTCAGAATTCGAGCGCAGTACGGGACAATCCTTTTGTCTATACACTATTTGATGTTTTTGTCGATGTCATGGATTAGAAAAAAGCATATAATAGTTAATTGTAAATGTCATAAAAGTTCTATTTTTAACATAATATTTTTTTAGTGCATTGAACATTTTGTATTGCTCTTCTGTAAAAGGCTGAGAAC